AAAAAATAAAAAAGAAAACCAAAAAAAAAAAAAAAAAAAAAGTAGTAGGGCCAGCAGGTGGCATGGTAGTTAAGTTGCTGAATCCCACTTGGCTCACTCCACAGTTCAAGTCCCAATGTGGAGGCTTGAAAAACACACTGGGAAAACAAAACAAAACAAAACAAAACAAAAACTCTGGGCATATGTGTGCATGTCCAAAATCCCAAAAGGAGAACGGAGAAGAAGGGTTGGGACATGGCCATCCTCCTAGGGAGTGAGCTCTAAGGCAAAAATCTAAAACAAGAGAAGCAATTGGAGATCTGCCATTCCTGTCCCCTGGCTTACACCATCACGGACACCGAGCTTCCTCGCTCTGCCTTTATCCAGTGTTCCCTGGCCTCTGGGCGCCCTGGGGCTGCGGGACTCCTGCTTCTGCCAGGAAACTTACTTCCCTACATGCCTTCCCTTGCTTCCCATCAAAAACCCAACCGGTCCTATCCAAAGGTCTTGCCAGAACACACTGGAGGCACGAGAGAGACTTGACTGTCCACTTTTCCCCTCACCCCCTCCTGCATCTGGGAGTCCTAAGAACTGTGGGAACTGGGATCTTGTCTAGAATGGTGGCCCTGCTGAAGGTGCCAGCTTCCTGACCTGCCATGTTCAGAAAGGTGGTAGGGAGGGCGCCAGTGGGGGAGTGGAGCCGGGAGGCAGGACTGCGAGATGGATGGTCGATGGATGGAGGTTGAATGGATAGATGGGTGATGTGTGGGTGAATGAGTGGATGGGAAGGTGGGCAAGTGGATGGGTAGATAGGGAGGGAGGTAGGTGCGTAGACAGGTAGAAGAACCCAGGTTCTGTTCCCCAATTTTGCCATTAACTCATTACGTGAGCTCAGGCTGGTCGCTCTCCTCTCCGTTTATTTGTGAAGAGGGCTGGGTTTAATCACCTCCGGGACTTCTCCCAGGTTCGATGTTGGACAGTTTATGATGATGGAGAGCTTTTAGGGGTGCTAATGATGGAAAGGCCCAAGTCGGAGAGAAGGGGAAGTTAAATGGCCCAGCTTGTCCTGGGGCCATGGGGCTCAGCCTGCCTGTGCCCTGGCCTGGCTTCCACCCTGACCCTTTTGCCGCTTCCTCCAGTCCCAACGCCCATGATCCAGAGTGGGAGTTGGATAAGTTCTTTTCCAGGGCTTGGGAGGAAGACTTCTGTGGGCACAGGTAGCCATGGACGCCTCTCCCACCTCCACTAACCTGAACCACTTACCCAGGTCTCTTCTCTCTCTCCCGCCTTGTCCTTCCCAGCACCCTTGAGTCATGGCTTCTTCAAAGCTCCGAGAGCCCATGGATGAGGTTTTTGGTAAGTTGTGTGTAGCCCTTTCCGCAGCCCATGGACACGGAAGTGCCAGAGAGCATTTCTTCCCAAGGCCATTTGGCATGGAGGTAGGGGATGGCCCTTGAGGGTGTCAGTGTGTGTGTGCGTGTCGCAGCCTCTGTCACCACTGTCTTGGTGGATGTGCCAGTTACGACACAATAAGGATTCCCATTGATCTTTTCTTTTTTAAGAATTATTTTATTTTATTTATTACTATTTTATTTTATTTTGCTCTAAGGCTTGTGCACTCATGAGAGAGAGAGAGAGTGAGAAAGCAAGCTGCCATGTCCAGGACTTGAACAGCAGTCATGTGGGAGTTCAGCGCCTTAACCACTGCACCTCCTGCTAGCCACAGGAGTCCCATTTATGAAGTGCTTATGTAATGTCAGGTACTAGGCTAAGCACCCCACCTCAAACACACACACACACACACACACATATATATATATATATGTGTTGTAGGGCACATGCACCCACTGGAAATACAGAGATAGAAAGTAAGAAATCCCCCCAGGGGGTATGGCCACACCACAATCCCTTATCCTCCATTCTCCTTTTGGGATTTTGCATGCATGTACATGTGCCTGACACGAGTGTCAAGCTACTGTGTTCGGGACTCGAACTATGGTTGGCCATGTGTGAGTCCAGCAATGTGACCACTATGTCATCTACTGGTCCCTCATATGCACTGTATCATTACATCTTCATAGTAATGCTAGGAAGTCAGTCCTGGGGGGCGGGCAGTGGTGCAGTGACAAAACCTGGCACTCTTCCACAATGCTTCATGTGAGAAGGTTCTGGGTTCAGGCCCAGAGACCTCCCTGACACACCAGACAGGCTTGTGTCTGTGATCCAGGACCGGCAGAGGTTGGGGGTGGGTAGATGCCAGCATCAAGACCCTGTTAGAGGGGTCGTGCCTCTCTCTCTCTCTCCCTCTTGTTCATGGAAACAATAAATAAGCAAAAACAAAAAGTTTAAAAAAGACATCATGGACAGCGGTGTAGCGTGCAGAGTGCTGAGGTGACTGGCTTTAAAGACCATGGCAAGTTAGTGACGGAGCTAGGACTAGAACCCCAGACTGCCTGGCTTGCTGCTCTGAGTCTTGTACTTGCTGTACGACACGCACCATCTCCAAGTCACGTAAGTGACTCGGACCTCCCTTGCAGTGATGTGCACTGGAGTCAAATGCATCTCGCACACGCACGCGCACACACACACGCACACACAGCCTCGGGACCCCCAGGCTTGCCCTCACACTGGTCTGCACACCCGTGTCCTCGGTACACACTGGAGTGCACGCACGTACAGCCTGTATCATCTTGACCCCCGCTAGTCTTCTGCTGTGTGGATGGGAGAAAGCAGCCGCCCAGCATACACTGGGGTAGAAAGGCTAACTCTCAGCTGGGTTCCAGTGGAGGTGGAGGGCTGCAGGGAGGCAGACATGGAGACCAGGTGTCAGCCTGTGCCAGCCTTTGGGACCCTCATTTGATTGTGCAGCCGGGGCGGGCAGTCCTGTGTAGGAACAGCCAGGAGCTCCCAGCCCCTCTCCCTGATGTCCTCCACCTTCCTCTCTCCACCCCAATCCTGTCCTGATCATGCTTATGGCTTCTGAGGAACCTGCTTCCCACCCAGTCCTCTTGGGGCTCCCTGCTCTCCCTCCCCTGCCTTGAACCACCTTGGAGTCTAGTCTAGGAGTCTGTCTCCAGGGGGGCCAGTCTAACCCTTGGCCAGAGAGGAATGCTTCCTTCCTCAGGCTTTTCTGCCTCTCCTCCCACCCAGCCCTTTCCTGTTTTCCTCCCTATTGCTGAGATAGCAGCTGGGCCTCCATCCTGCTTCCTGATGCAAAAGGCACTTAAATATTCATGATTCCCCACTGCCCCAGGTCAGGTTGGGGAGAAAGAGGGAGAGGTGGAGGGAGGTGGGCAGCAGAGAAAAGGGATGAGAGGTGGGAGAAGAGGGCCAAGTTCCTAGTAAAGCAGGGGACGCTAGGGGAGGACAGTCCTACTAGCCTCCAAGCCCCCAAGCCACTTTGGTGTCCCTTTGCTTCCCTGACCCACCAAGGTGAGATGACCATGGTACCCATGGGGCCCATAGTCCAGAATGACAGCCTGCTCCCTGGTGCAGGTTGGTGGGTCGCCAGCCGAGATGCAGGGCAGGAGATGCAGAGCACTGGCTTGGGAGTCCGGAGACCTAGATACTCCCCTTAACTCTCTGCACCCTAGGCCAGACGTCCTCCTGAGCCTCGGCTTCCCCATCTGTAAAATGAGTTGGCTTCAAAAGCCACTCCCATTGCCTGGTGTTTACAAACTACCCAGACTGTCTTTAACCTGGCTGGCTCCCCCCCAGCTCTGTGTCCTTGGGCACATTCTGAGTGCCCCTGGAGTCTCTTCCTGCAGAGGTGTGGGCGGGTTCAAATGAGCTAGTCATTGTAAAGCTCTCAGGACAGTGCCCGTGCCATGAAAGGGTCGTTCGCTGTCATTACTCTGAGGTTCTGTCAGTCCCTAGCCTTAGGGGCTTCCCACCCTGGAGAGTCTGGGTCAGGGCTGGGAGCAGAGAGCTCCCTCCCCGAGCTCAACCCCAGGGGCTAGAGGACCTCAAGTGAGGTGGTGGTATTCTAAGGGACCAGAGGAGTGGAGCCAAACCTGCGGTCCTATGGCAGTCCCCCCCCCCCCCTGTCCCCCTGCCGCTTCCCCTGGATGCCTGCAACAGCTTCTCGGTGTCCACCCTGCACCTTCAACCAGACCTTTCTTGTCCCCTCCCCGGCTGCACACCCAGGGGCTGCTCTGCAGACACTCCAGCCCGAGCCTCCTGTGTCCTCTCCTTACAAAGCTCTTCCTTTTCCTTTCGACAACTGTGACTCTTCATTGTCACCCCAACCTCAGCTTGGCTCCCTAATCTATAGTGGCCCCAGTCCCTCCTGGCTTTTCATCCATTTACAAATCTTTACAGTGCTCCTAATGGGTGCCAGGCTCTGTTCTAGGCTCTGGGGAGACAGCAAGGAACTAGCCAGTCACTGACTTCATGGAGCTTGACTTCTAGTGCAGGCAGGGGGTCAGGTAGCAAAAGCACACAGGTTGGAAGAGGCCAGTCACCAAGTTCATGGAAGGCCAGGTACCTGTGGGGACGAGAAGCCAGATGCCACATGGCCGCAGCAGTGTGCAACCCCAGCAGGGCCAGCCTGGTACATGGTGGGCACGTGTGTGAGTGCCCAAGATCCCTTGGCTGGGGGGCTAGGGGAAGGGCATCCTAGTGTGACCAGGCTCCAGGGAGGGGGCTCTGCTCTCTCTTTTCACATGTGCACACACACACTCTAATGATTTTATTTTGGTGGGGGAAAAAAAACCTTGAAATCCATGCACAGTTTTTTTTTTAATTTTTTAAGAATTGGGACCAGCAGATGTCATAATGGCAATGTCGCTGGACTCCCATGAAGTCGACCGTGATTCGAGTTCCTGGACCCAGTGGCTTAAACTCATGCCAGGGGCATGTGCGTGCGTGCCCAAGATCCCTAGAGGAGAATGGAGAAGGGATTGCGGCATGGCCATCCCCCCTGGGGGGTGATTTCTCACTTTCTGTCTCTCTTTTTCTCTCTTTCTGACGAGTACATGTGCCCTATAGCAAAAACCTCTCAAAAAAAAAAAAAAAAAAAATTTTTTTTTTTTTTATTTATTTATTTATTTATTTTTCATTTGACCAGAGAGGGACAGAGTGTGAGAGAGAGAAAGAGAAAGCAAACCGCCAGGTCTGGGACTTGAATTGTGATCAGCCATGTGGGAATCCAGCACCCTTAACCACCATGCCACCTGCCAGCCCCAATGCACTGTTTTGTTTTGTTGTTTTTTTATAAGACACATTTTCCATGAAGCTTTTGAAGATCCCTCATGTTGGATGGTAGGAGTGCTATGCAGGGCGCAGAGGGTTAAAATGCGGGATGTGGGAGCCAGCAGGTAGCATGGTGGTTAGGTGGTGGACTCCCACATAGCTGACCGCGGTTTGAATCCCAAACCTGGTGACTTGCTTTCTCACTCACCATTCTTCTCTCTCTCTGTCTCTCTCTGGTCAAATTTAAAAATAGTAATAATATTGATAAATAAAATTAAATAAATAATTTAAAAAAAAACCCACATGTGTGCATATACCCAAAATCCTGAGAGGACAGTACAGGAGAGGGATTGCAAGCGTGGCTATACTCCCAGGAGCGTGAGTTCTCACTTTCCCTCTCAATGTCTCTGCCTCTGTCTCTGGCGAGAGCATGCACCCTAAGGCAAAAACTTCTACAAAGAGAAAAGCATATAGGTCCATCCATATCACCTGATATAATGGATAAGGCACTGGACTCCCACATGACTGACTGGTTTGAGTCTTGGACCCGGCAGCTTCAAAATTATCCCAAGAAGCAAACGGAGGAGAAGGGATTGCGGTGTGGCCATCCCCCTTGGGGGATCATTTCTCACTTTCTGTCTCTGCCTCCAGTGAGCACACATACCCTATAGCAAAATCTCTCTTAAAAACAAACAAACATGGATGGGACCAGCAGTTAGCGTAATGGCTATGTCGCTGGACTCCCATGTAGTCAACCACGGTTCTAGTCCCAGACCCAGTGGCTTAAACTCACGCCGGGTGCATGTACATGCATGCCCAAGATCCTGAGAGAAAAATGGAGGAGAAGGGATTGTGGCATGGCCATCTCTCCTGGGAGGTGATTTCTCACTTTCTGTCTCTCTGTCTCTCCAGAGAGCACACACACCCTATAGCAAAAATCTCTCTTAAAAAAAATTCCTTCCTTTTTTTTTCATACAAGAGAGGAAGAGATGGAGAGATACCCCAACATCTTGCAAGCTGCAATTCTCCCCCACTTCTTCTAGCCAGTTAGGAGCTGGGCACACCCAAACCCTGCACGTTCAGGTTGAGCCGGGATCTAAATCTAGGGTTTCCCATGTGGTCCCAATACCGCACAGTGGCACTCCACTGCTTACACCACTGTGGCTGGGCCGCACGACAGTCTACTGGATGGAGAGAGACAATGAACTGAAGGAGCGCAGCGCAGTGTGCCAGAGAACGATACATGACACGGGAAAAGACAGAAGGGTTTTGGAGCGGGGCAGGTTTAGCAAGTGGGTGTTCAGGGAAGCCCTCATTGGGAGGAAGCATTCCAGCAAAGACCTGAAGGCGGTAGGGAGCGGAGCATGCAGAAATCTGTGACGGGAGCCTTGACGAGGGAGGAGGAAGAGCGAAGGCCCTGAGGAACAGGCTGGGCGTGTGAGGAAGAGCCAGGAGGCCAGGCTGGCTGGAGTGGAGGGAGAGAAGTTCAGAGAGGCAGGGAAGCACAGAGGCTGTCTGGAAGCAACCGAAGGAACTTGGGCTCTCACTCGGAGAGGGAATGACCAGAGGGCTCTGAGCACAGGAGTGACACAAGCTGACGTGTGTCATTAGGATCACGCTGGCAGCCGTGTTGGAAATAGACTGTACTGGGAAGGGGAGGTGGAAGGAAGATGGGCTGGAGGCTTTTTGTAATAACTGAGGCCAGAGATGATGCTGACCCAGACAAGGGAGGCGGTGAGATGTGCTCTCTCTCCACTCCACTCCCCTGCCCTCCATCCTCTCCCCTCTTCTTCTCTCCTCCTTTCCTTGCTTCTGTGTTCTTCATTCTCTCCTTTCCTCCATGTACGCACATGCATGCAGTCACACTCAGTGATTGTGGAAACTCATTCAGAAATGGGGAGAATCGGGCAGGGTGGAGTGATGGAGGGAGCCGGACCCTACATGGCATGCGGTTTCAATTCCAGACACTCCAGGTGGGGCTGGCTGGTGGTGTGGTGGTTAAGGCACTGGACTCCCACATGGCCAGCTGCAGTTCGAGTCCTGGACCTGGTAGCTTGCTTTCTTATCTTCTCTCTCTCTCTCTTTCTGGGCAAATTAAATACTAATAACAAATCAAATGAAATATATACTTCTTTAAAAAAAAGAAAGAAAAACCCTCCAGGCATGTGTGTGTGTCTGCCCCAAATTCCAACAGGCTGGAGAGATGGAGGAGGTGGGATTGCAGCATGACCACGCCCCTTTGGGAGGTGCCTTTTCTCTCTCTCTGATGACCACACATACCCTCTGGTGACATAAAACTAAATGAAATGAAATATAAAAAGTAGGGAGACTAGCATGATGGCATTTGTTACATGCTCATGTACTCCTTACCCAGTCTCCACAGTGATCAACTCATGCCTACCTAGATCCCTTTCCACTCACACTGCATTTGCCCTGGATTATGCTGAACCCAGTCCAAAACATTGTGTCACCATAAATATTTCAGAATGGCTAGATGTATTCTGCACACAGCGCTAACAGGAATTGTGGATGAATTGGTTTGCAGGGTGGGAGGCAGACACATCAAGGATGACTTCAGGGGTTTGGCCTGTTGGCTGTATTCATGTGCTGACGGTCTGGCTGGCACCCCTGCCCCTTGACGCCCCCAGTTGTGAAAGACCCTGATTCTCATCTCATCTGTGTTCTGAGTGCTCTGAAATGCTGGTTGAATGTCTGGGGTGTGTGCCGGGGGGCCACTCCAGGTGGGCCTCTGGGATTGCTATCTCATGTGTCTGGTCTCTGTCCCCTTCACCTGTTCACAGACCTGGACTTGGCTGTGCCAGAGACCGCCAGACTGGACAGCAGTTTACACAAGGCCCGGGCCCAGCTGTTGGCCAAGGGCCGGAGACATCGGCCCTCCCGCTCCAGGCTGCGAGATAGTGCCAGCTCTGCGGAGGACGGTGAAGGCTCCGATGGACCCGGAGGCAAGGTTGGGGCAACCCCCACAGGCACACATATCCCTCGCTACCTTCCTTGCCCCTGAATAATCCCTCCAACTTGTTCTTCCAAAGAAAGCGTACCCCAGACACCTGACATAGTAATGCAACAAAGCTGGCTGCAGGCCGCTGCAGGCTCATTTCACCTTTTTTATTTTAAGGTATTTTTTTAAAGAATTATTTATTTTATTTATTTTTAATTGTCATTATTGTTTTTAATTTGACCAGAGAGAAAGACAGAGAGAGAGGGAAAGTGAGAAAGCAAGCCACCAGGTTCAGGATTCAAACCATGGTCGACCATGTGGGTGCCTAGCACCCCAACCACCACACCACCTGACAGCCCCTCATTTCATCCTTTTTAAGAAGGTATCACTGGCTGGGACCATTACGCAGTTAGCGTAATGGCTATGTCGCTGGACTCCCATGTAGTCGACCGTGGTTCGAGTCCCAGACCCAGTGGCTTAAAACGCACACTGGGCACGTGTGTGTGTGTGTGTGTGTGTGTGTGTGTGTGTGCTCAAGATCCCGAGAGGAGAATGGAGAAGGGATTGTGACGTGACCATCTCCCCTGGGGGTGATTTCTCGCTTTCTGTCTCTGTCTCTTTCTGTCTGGCGAGTGCACACGCCCTATAGCAAAGACCTCTCAAAAAAAAAAAAAAAAGAAGAAGAAGGTATTACTGGGACCAGCAGATGGTATAATGGTTAAATTGGTGGACTCCCATGTAGTCAACCACAGTTCAAGTCACACTGGGTACGTGGGCGAACATGCCCAAAATCCCAAGAGGAGAATTGGAGAGGAGACTGCAGCGTGGCCATCGGGGTGATGTCTCTCTGTCTCTCCAGCGAGGGCACGCATCCTATAGCAAAACTCTCTCTCTAAAAAAGAGTATTGTTATTCCCATCTTACAGATGAGGAAACGGAGGCCCTGAGAGGCTCCGTAAGAGTCACAAAGTTAGGAAGTGCAGGAGGCAGAATCCAGCCCCAGCCTAAGTGACTCAAAGCTCCCATTTCCCACCTCTCTGTCCAGCCACCCCTTAGTCAAGGGCACAGGGAGCCCTCCCTCCAGGTCCCAGAAGGACGCGGGAGTCTGGGGTCCCCACCTCAGAGGTTCCTGCGTAGTTTACAGTCTCCCAGCCCCTCTGGGAAGGGAGGTGAATGGTTCCTTGTAAACAGCTGTCCCTCTCCCAGGTGACTGACGGCTGCGGGAGCCCCCTCCACCGGCTGCGCTCGCCTTTGCACTCGGGCCCGGGGTCACCTGCCGGGGGCTCTTTCTGCCTGGAGCCTCCGGGCTTGCGGCGCAGCCTGGATGAGGACGAACCGCCACCCTCGCCGCTCACACGCTATCGACCCCTGCACAACGCCGCCTCTCACGAGGGCCTGGCCGCCGCCTCCTGCTCGCCGCCACGCTCCGCGCCCTCCTCTGACAGCTCTCCCAGCTTCGTGCGCCGCCACCCGCGCCCGGAGCCGCACAGCGAAGGTGAGCGGCGGCGCGCGCTGCGCCCCCTGCTGGTGCGCACCTGGACGGCACCGGCCCTTCCTGGTTCCAGCAGGAGCCAAGTCTGGGCTGGAGTTGGTGGGACAGGTGCTATTTGGGTATGTGCACGGTGGCAGGAGAGCATGCATCAGAGTGGCCTAGCTGGGAGCATCCTGGAAGACTTCTCTGAGGATGCGACCTTTAAGCCTAGACTGGAAGGCTAGTTAGAAGTTGCCAGGATAAAATGAACAGTAAATAGTAGTGGTCAGTACCTTTCCAGAATATTCTGCAGTTTATGAAAGACTTTCCTAAACACTCCATTAGGTCTCACAAAATAGGTAGGTGTTATCCCCATATTTGAAAGAAAGGAAGCTCAGAGAGGTCAAGTTCCTTGTCCTAGGTCACACAGCTAGCCTCGGGCACCAGAGCCAATTTGCCTCTTAAGTCGGGAGAATTTCTACCACCCCATGCTGGCAGTTGAAGGAGGCAGGCAAGTCACCACACTAGATGCTTCCTTGTCTTCATCCTGAAAGATGACAGCCGGGATGCCAGCCCTCCTGAGCCCGCCAGCCCCACCATTGGCCTGGATAAGAAGACTCGCCGCAAGTTCCTGGACCTGGGGTGAGTGGAGGAGGGGCCACAGTGCAGGGCGTGGACTTGCTGGGGTTGCACAGTGGACAGCCCCGTCCCACTCCTCCCTGCACTCCCCACAGGGTCACCCTGCGCAGAGCATCCACTAGCAAGAGCCGCAAGGAGAAGGGCAGCAACCGCCTGTCCATGGGCAGCAGGTAGGAGGTGGCCACAGCCCCAGCCCCAGCCCCCAGGGACCCCGGCCCTGCACTCCATGCCCACACCCATGCTGGACGCTCTTTCCACAGGGAGTCTGTGGAGGGCTCTGGCAGGTCAGGAGCCTCCCCGTTCCTGCCCTTTTCCTGGTTCACAGACAGTGGCAAGGGTTCAGCGTCCTCGGGGAGCACCACCTCCCCTGCCTGCTCCCCTAAGCATGAAGGCTTCAGCCCTAAGAAGTCGGCTTCCCAGGTAAGCCCAGGACCTCTTTTGATTGATTGATTGATTTTTAATTTATGTATTTTCTCTGAGCAAGTGAGAAGGGGAGAGCAGACGCCCTGATGGGGCCTTGATGCTGCAGTCCATCCCAGCTTCGGCCAGCCCTGGGGCATGGGCTCACATGTGCCCAGTGTACTCAGGCCTCTGGATGTAGGCCTGGAACCTTCCGGAGTGAATCAGCCTCGCAGTGCTGCATGTTACCGCTGTACCACTGTCTGGCTCCGTGTCTATCTTGCCCACAAACTGTCCAATGCTGGTCCTTGGCTTTGTTCCTTATGTGCAGCTGGGGCAGAGGAGAAGCTCAGAAAGCTGAGGATTCAGGGGACAGAGTGTCTTCTGACCTGAGGCTTCCTTTCCTCCCTCCCTGGATGCCCTCCCTCTGTCTGGCCTTTCTCCCTTCCTCGTGCTGGCCTGGGGGGTACCATGGTGCACATGACACAGCCCAGTCCCTCAGCTCGTGGTCCAGTGAGGACAAGGGCCCTGACTCAGGCATTTACAAGCCACTGCTAGAGGCCAGTGGGAGGCACATAGCAGAGACACCTGCCCCAGCTTGGGGGAATCCTGGTAGGCTGCCTGTAGGAAGCCATGCCTAGCCTGAGACCTCCATGCCTGTCAACTTTCTGGATTTGTTCTAGCCCCGCAACTTCCAGACAACTACCAACCCTCCCTAAGGCCCCAGGTCCCCGTATCCTGTGTGCCTGCCCAGCTCCTGGCTCAGGGATACCGAGCAACTCCTGGTGCAGTCCAGGACCACAGCTCTACAAGGGGGGGAGGCTGCAGGAGGCCTCCCTTGGGCTCAGGGGTGAGCTCTCCCCTCAGTGGCACGCACCCCTTCCCATGCAGGAATCCACCTTGAGTGACGACTCCACGCCCCCCAGCAGCAGCCCCAAGATCCCGAGTGGTCCCCGGCAGGAGACCAAGTGTTCCTACCCCTACCACACGCTGTCCCAGTCCTCGGATGAGGTGAGCAGGCTGGCCCCCCGGAGCCCTGACCTCTGACCCGCCAGTACAGGCCGAGGCCAAGCCCCTCACTCGCCTTGGTCTCTGCCTCAGTTCCTGGATGAACCCCTCCCCACTGTCCACCACTGGACCAGTCAGCAGGTGGGCCAGTGGCTACACAGCCCCAACCCCGGAACAGACGCCCCC